ATACATATACACATGGAATAAGAGAAAGCAATAAAGAACTGGACAGTAATAAATTACAAACCACTGAGAAAACCAGGTGTCCACATCTCCATAGCAATCAATCATTGTAAACGTAGAGGAATTACTGAATTGGAAAATCACTGTATAACCATCATAGTAACGTAAAGATTGGTTCAGGCAAAATTCCTGAGTGAAATTTTACTGAGGAAAAAGACATTTGCGTGGTGTTAAAATATCTCTCCACAGATCAGTTAGTTCAAGGGGGAAAAAAACATTTTGACCAAACATGTGCTCAGACATCATAATTCACAAAGGGTAGATGGACTTCATGCATCTCTAGATCTGGTACCATGGGGGGAAACATAGAAACTTGATTTTTCTGGCCAGGGACATATAATTTACTCAAGAGGAAACATATAAAAACGAAGAAAAAAAAATCCAAAGTGAGAAATGTTCTATTAAATAAAAAGAAAGCAAACAGTATTCTTCAAAAATGTCAACCTCACAAAAGATAAAAAAGACTATAGAAATATTCCAAAGTAGAGAAGACTAAAAAAACATGATAACTAAATGCAGTTACCTTATCCTGGACTGATCCTACAATACAGGGAGAAAGAACTGCTACAAGAAACATTACTGGGTCAACTGAAAAAAATCAGAAAATAGTTTAAAAAAAAATTATCAACATTAAATTTACTGAGACTGATAACTGTACTGTGACCACAGAAGAAAATATCCTATTCTTAGGAAATAAACTACTAAACTAACTAATAAACTAATGAAGGGTAAAGGAGTACAGTATGTGCAAGTTACTTTCATAATAGTTCAGGGAAAAAATAAGGGTGTGTGCACATTCAAGCATGCAAAAGGATAGAGGGAAGGGAAACAGGGTATTCCCCTGTCAGCCAGCATTTTAACTCATTCAAAAATAGTTAATGACCCAACATTGGGCTACCTAACATCTCAGCTACATACTCAGTCAAAAAAGGACTATAAGCAAGTATGGCAACAGGCAGAAAGTTGGCAATGATTAAAAAAAAAAATCAGCCCTAAGCACTTTTTTGGATTTGGCTATTCTTTTTCTACATCATGTTTACTCCCTAACTATTGACTGTTAGTCAGACCATTATGCAATCCATAATAACCTGATCTTTGGGGAAACTTCCACTGATCTGAAGACACCCACCCTGCTACGAAGGGTGCCAGCAAGTGATTTCATGCAAAATTGGGTAACTCCCGTAAATAAAATTTACGACTAACGTAGCATAGTGTTTTTTTAAGAACTTAGACCCTAGATTCAGCACTTTAATTCTGATCCTGGAGTGCTAAAAATGTGAGCCTCAGCAAGCTGATTAACCCATGACTCCATGTAATGTTGATGTAAAAAATGATTAAAATTATACCCCCCGACATGCAACAGATGGCTCAAAAAATGTTATATTAATAAACAAAATGCTTTACTTAAGAAGCAGGTAATTGTCTGATTCTTTCATTAAAACCTAGGTAATTTCCAAAAATTTCAATATGGTGGTGTAGCGTGTAAGAAATAAATGGGGAGATTTGAATAAATGACTGAATCTCTAACATTAAGGAATCATTATTACTTTAGGTGTGATATGCATGTCTTTTTCTAAAATTTTAGAGAAAAATTCTGAACTATAAGTTAAGGAATATGTTACAGGAATAGCTTAAAAATAATAGGATGGAGAGTAGACATAAGATTTACTTATAATTGTTGTAAATTATAATTGTTGAAGCTGGGTGATCAGTATATGAGTGCATCATTATATAATACTCTCTGCTTTTGTATAGGCTTAAAATTTTCCCTAATTTAAAAAAAAAATTTTTAACAAGTGAGGAAATTAAAAAGAATAGAAAGTTGGTAACACATTCACTCATTAGCAGAGATAACAAACAAATCACCTGAAAGTTTAATAAAATGAAGACTGTGGAAATGAGGCAAGGAAAAAGTATGAAAACTTAAAGACTGTAACAATAAATATATTTTGGTATTTAAGGGGCTCAAGAGTTGAAAAATAATCCAAAACCTAAGTATCCCAAGGTAGCACTAAGAAAATATCAAAACATGCACACCGTTAAAAACTCCTTCTCCTATATCCCCTGAACTTTTTTTCTCTTTTCAGTACAAAACCATTATTCTTGATCTTCACTCATCATTAGAGTTGTGTTTTATTTTATACCTCACCTTTTCCCTAACAAAGTTTCTTCCTTTCCATTACTCTTATTTTCCATGTACCTATCTTCCTCTCATTTTCATTTCAATCACAAATTTCAGACTATAATAAACAAGTTGAAGCAGTGAAAGAGTAAGTAAAGTTAAATATAAAGAGGGTTTACTGGCTTTAGCCACAAGTATAATTACTTTCAGTTTGGAGGATCTCTAAACCACCTCATTTCAACATTCAGTGGCTTGTTTACTTGCAAAACAGCCCTAAATATGTTACTGGGTACCCAGACTAGAAGCACTATTTCTCAGTATATAAAGCATTTTATTAATAATCATTTTGACAGATTTTTTTCCAAACCCTGATCGATATACACTAGGTCATAGCAAACAGAGCATGATTTGGACCCCAAAGCCTGTGTTCTTACCCAGACTCAGGCAACCATCAGCTGAGTTCATTCACCTGACCTGTGAGTATCTAACACAAACTAGGCATTGAGACAGATACAAAGATGAGCGTAACAATCATATAAATAGTTACAATTTTGATACGTGCTTCAAGAGAGCTATACATAAAGAGGTATACATAAAGTTTATAGATGAACAAAGTATTTTAATGAAAGAGTAGATGATCTTTCAGTTCCAAAATTCCATCAATTTAACCTACATTCTTTAAGCCTCTTCTTTTTATTAAGAGGGACTATCCACAGGTTGCAATTTTCTATCAAAAGATGCTTCCTAAGCACTTAAAAATTTGCAGTAGTAACAACTAACATTTATTAAGCACCTAGTTATGTGTCAAAGGATAGGGGCTTTTCACACATTTTCTCCCTCACAATAATTCCAGGCAGGAAGCAGTATTATTACCACTTTACAGATAAGGAAATAAAAGTTCAGGAAGACTAAAATAACTTACCCCACATCTCACTCAGACAGTAAGAGGAAAACTGGGATTCGAAGCCAAATCTTCTGATTCCAAAGCCTATTCTCTTTCCACTAAACTATTTGTCTCTCATTTTCTTTCACTACATAAAAACAAAATTTCCAGAGATGACCTTCTTAAGAGCACCCAAGAGAAAACCTTTAAGACAGCCATGAAATACAAAGTGATCACTGATTCAAGAAGCATTTTTAAAACCTGAGTATCTGCTGTATATACCTTCCATAACAAAATAACACATTACAGTTATAAAACTAAAATATAACCAATACTCAAGGTAATAGATATGTGTGACATAAAGCTAGTAATAAAAACGGATGAGATTTTGTGATTTCTTCCAACTGTTTTATCTTTCCCTCACTTGGTTTCAACAACCAATCAAGAAAGGAATGGTCCAGCATATTTTAGCGTATTAACGTGTTAATTTTTAATTATTAAAAAGCATATACTATTTAAGTGTCTATTACATAAAATATGTATATTACATATTATTAAAAGTGTATATTATGTAATTATTTAAAAGTGTATATTACAAAGTATGGGAATACAAAATAAAGTGTATGAAATGTTGCCAAAAATAAAAAGAACAACATAGGCCCACTAAGTCTAGAATACCTCGTCAACGATATTTAAAGCTATGTTGAAATAATGTAAATTATGCGTTCATTTTTCTGTATAAATTTCATTAAACTCATTTTTGTAAGTTTTTTCAGTTTATCAATTTTAATTGTAAATCTGAACCAACAGACATCCTTGAACAATAAATTAACCCTTTACAACAAATAAAAAAAATTTTTTTGTGTGTGCACAATTCCAAAGCTGGTTAGAAAAAGAATTTAAACCAACATAAATCGCCGGATCCCGATAACAAATTTTTTTCAAAACTTCTCCAGATAAAACAGGATTCACCCCCCCACCCCCACCTCGCCAAAAGATTTCGCCTAGGAGCAAATTTTAAGATTAAGAGGAAATAGCTTGAGGCAGCCTTCACTGTCTAGTTCAATTAAAGATCTTGTAATAATAGAAGTCTCCCTCATTCACAGTTATCTCAATAGAAGATCTGTTTCAGCTGTCCTCAAGGATTCTTGTATGTGGTTACACGTTCTCCCCCCAACTTGAACAGAACGGGCCCAAGCTAGGAATCACTAGCGATCCGCATTCTCGATTCCTCTGAGAAATCTGGAAATAAGTATCAGAGCAGTTCATGAGCTCTTCGAATCTGAGATGACATTCTCTTTGCTTTCATTCCCGCACAAGGCAGGCAGAGGACCCCCGGACCAGCCCAAGCCGCTACATCTTACGTTCCCCCTTCACCTCAATTCCCCCTTCCCCAGCCCCAAACACAAACACGTTCTTCTCCTCCACGCTTCTTATACAATGTCGCTCGCTAATGGGCTCAGCACGAGCTCCACTGCCTCTCCTCCGGGCCCGACGGGAATGGTTCCTCCCTCCGCGATGCTCCCTCACCACCGCTTCCTCCTGTCAGGCCTGGCGCGGCCCGGCCGGCCCTGCGCCGATGGGGAAGGGGCAGCCACGGCCTTACCAAAGGGCTGTTTTCGTTCCTCCGCTCAGTGCAAAGGCGTCAGGCGGCGCTTTCCGAATCAGGGTCCTAGCCCCGGCGCCCGACTTGGCCCTCCGGAGCAGTGCGCTGAACCGACGCTTTGGCTGGGGAGCCAAGCTCCCTTCCCATCCCGGGGGTCCCCCAATCTCCTCCCGCCCCCGCCGTCAGCCCGCCGCCATTTTGTGCGCAGTCGCTGCGACACAGATACAATAGTCGGCCTGGATCTTACAGGAAAGGCTCAGGACCCCCACGCTTTGGGCTCCCGCGTTCCAGCCCCCTGTTCCCCACAAGGCAGCCGTCCTACCTATGCCTACCCGACTAACCGCCGGATCCCATTTGCGCCCCACAGTTTAGCACTCAGGCTCCAGGCTCGACGCCGAAGAAGCTACCGCCTCCAGAGAGCCGCACGCATGCGCGTCTGTCGAGCCTTTGCGAGCCCTCATCTGCTGCCGGCGCCTGCGTACCGCCGGCCCAGGGCTCTCCCGTAGACACGAGAAACCGACCCGAAGAACTTGGTTCCGGAAGGGGGCGCTCTCGCGTGTGGTACTCCAGGCATCCCTGGCAAAACTCCGGCACCGGTATCAGTGCCTCTGCCGGTTCTTTGCCTGTCCAATACTGTCCTGTCCAAATCATGAGCATATGTTAAGACCTGCATTGTCTCACCTCCTCCATGAAGTCTTCCCTGATCATTTTTGCCTTCAATAATACATTAAAATAAACAGTATTCAGCTGGCATTGGATATTATAATGCTTTGCCTGCCTTTTATCCTCTATATAGAGATACAGAAATAGATGCAGACTTGCAATAATGCGAGGTATATCATAGCCACTGCAAATGTCAGGAAATTTGAATTCAATTAAATCTTATTGAGCTAAAAGCTGTAAAGATCCTTTCTTGAGTTGTTAAACAATAAAAACACCTACCTAATGTGGTAAATATTTTTAACCTTTCTTTTATCAATTAAAAACCTTGGGTTGAGAGCACTTGAGTAACTTCTCAAAGTAACTCTACTATACCACCAAAAAAGTCAATCATTGGCAAAATCTGGTCAAATTTCCATATCCTGTCTTTTGGATACCACCAAATTAATATCAACAACCCTGTTCAGAGCATCAGTTTTATCTAGTACCCAAAGAGATGTACTTCTTTTATTCACATTAAAATTAGCATACAAAATGCTGCAAGAAAAGTCTTTCATAAAATATCTTCCTGGATATTCATTTCAAACTAAAAATCTTGAAAGAGGCAACAAGCCAAAAACAACAAAGAAAAAGCCAAGCTATCCCAAAACTCCAAATAATCAAGGTTCAAGTGTGATTATTTCCTTTCATATATTTCTTTATATTCATATAAACATACATAAACATGTTATTTGTGTGTAATAGGAAATGTTCTTCATTCTTTTCTTCCCAAAGATTTACACCTTAGCCTGCTGTTTGCTTTCCTGATTACTGACATTTCTCCAAGTAAATCATATAAATTCTTTTCTAAATAGTTGCATAAAATATTCATAGTATAACTCACCCATCAATTAACTCAATCTGTTGAACACTAAAGTTGATACTACAAACATTGTTTTATACAGTCTTACCAGCTGATATTTTTATTTCCAAAGGCAAAAATCCCAATAGTGAGACAGCCAGATTAAAGGAGATAGATAATTTAATTTTACTAGATATTGACACAATAGTTTTCAAAAAACTTATATGAATTCTCATTGTTACTAAATATGTTAACAAATGATCATTCTCTAGAACCTCACTTCTTCTCTAAACTCTAAAATAGTTTAAAAATCAATGGACCTGTCTGCTCTTTAAGCTTGGTAGAATTCACCTTTGAAATACCTCTTCCGGCACTTTTTCTAGGAGTTGCTCTTAAACAACTTTCTCTAGATATTTTATGAGATATAATAATTTAACTAGAATTTCTCTCCTGCCTCCACAGCCATTCTTGTAATTTACATTCTCCTAGAAAAAGTATCCATTCCATCTAAGTTTTCTAATTCATTTCCCTAGAGTTGGGTACACTAACCTCTTCTTATATTCATTTCCTTTATGTTGCTCCCTTACATGGCTTTATTTCTATAGCACTTATCACCTTCTAACATACTATGTAGTTTATCTCATTATTTCTTACCTATCTCCCTCCACTAGAACATGAGCTCTTATGATGTCAGGGACATTTACCTGATTTTTTTTTTACTGCTTTATCTCTTAATACCTAGAATGATACTTCACACACAGTAGAAAAATCAGTGTATATCTGATGAAAGAATGAATGATCCTGATGAGTTTTTAAAAAAAAAAAGCCCTTTTAATATAATTTGTATTTCTAATGAGCTGGCTGTCTCTTTTATCAGGAGATGGTGCTTGTATACAAGGAATATAACCCTTTGTCAAATATATTGCAATTGGTTCCTCCTCATTGACAATTTTTATTTCTTAGTGTCTTTTGCCATTATAAAATTTAAATGTAATCAAATTTGTCACTTATTCTGTTATGACTTCTAAATGGCGTAGGCATTTTGTTTGTTGTTTGCTTTTGGTCTAAGAAGCCTCATCTCACCACCCCACCTAACCCAAAGCATATACACACAGAAATTATCCAAAAATTCTTCTAAAATTTCAATATTTTTGCTTACAATTTTATAACTTTTTTACATTTAGACAGTCAGTTAATCTAAGATGAATTCTTTTTATGATAAAAAGTAGCAACCTAACTTTGTCTTCTTCCAAATGTATTAGCTCAACCACGAAATTTTCATATATTAAGTAAACAACCATTTTCCCCCTTCTCTGTAATTTCTTCCCTTTAAAAAAAATGACAACAAATTATTAAATTCCTATATATAAAAATGGATTTATGGCCTCTCTAGTCTATCCTACTAATCTTTTTGCCTACCTATGGGCCAGTACCATTTGTTCATCCACCAACTGATACAATAAATATTACTCAAGGATCTACTCTGTGCTGGGAACCATCTTGGTACCAAAGTATCAGTGGCAAACCAGAAAGCAACACTAACTCCTGCTCTCATGGCATCTCCAGCCTTAATGGGGGGGCACAGACAATAAAGTAAGCATGCAGTATGTCCGATGGTGCTAAGTGGTATGAGGAAAAACAAACACAGAAATCAGGACACAGGGAACCAGGAAGTGACAGAGGCTAAAATTTAAATAGGATGGCATCATTAAGAAGGCAACATGTAGCAGAAACCCGACTGAAGTGTGGGAAAAAGCATAAGCTGCAGCGATATCTGGGAGGAAGAGCATTCCAGGCAGAGTAAATGTAAAACACTGAGGTGTTTCACTGAGGTGAAAGCCAGCTTGGCATATTTGAGAAACAGCAAGAAGGCCAACAAGGCTGCAACAGCATGAGTAACTAAGGAGATGAGTGGAGGGAAACCGGGAAGATTGGTTTGAGCTGCCATAACAAAATACCACTGGCTGGATGACTTAAAACAACAAGAACTTATTTTCTTACGGTTTTGGAGGCCAGAAGTCCAAGATCAAGATGTGGACCGGTTTGATTTCTCCTGAGGCTTCTCTCTTCGGACAAGAAAGTTAGCCACCTTCTTGCTGTGTCTTCAAATGGGCTTTTCTCTGTGCCTCTGTATTCCGGGTGTTTCTCCCTTTTCTTAAAAGAACATCAGTCATAATGGATAAGGGCCCACCCATCTGATCTCATTTAACTGTAATAACTTCTTTAAAGGAAAATAAAGCAAATAAGGGAAAATGATGAAGCAAGGGCAGGGTAATGCTTTTATTAAGGTAATCAGAGAGGTCCTCCCTGGAGAGGAGAGAGCATGTTGGGTGTGTTGGAGGAATAAGAAAGCCAGATCAGCTGAGGTGACAGGATGCAGGAGAAATTGAGGGTGGAGAGGTATCAAGGAACCAGACAATGCAAAGCCTTATGAACCACTCAAGACAATATAAAAACACTGAATAAAACACTAGATCAGGAACTGACCTTTCTAGTCCCTGCTCTGATACTAAACTCATTGAGTTTCAATCTCTTTTAAGAGAGGGGACCAGATTAGCTTGCCTATTAAGATGTGAGTCTGGAAATCTCCTGAAGATGCTTATCAATATTCATGGCAAAATATTTTTTTAATCTATTGTTGTTTAGTCTCTAAGTTGTGTCTGATTCCTTTGTGACCCCATGGACACAGCCTGCCAGGCTCTTTAGAGTCTACTATATTCATGCTACTCCAGGATTTCATGTCATCTAGTCTCCTTGGTGGAGAAGGCAATGGCACCCCACTCCAGTACTCTTGCCTGGAAAACCCCATGGACAGAGGAGCCTGGTAGGCTGCAGTCCATGGGGTCGCTAAGAGTCGGACACGGCTGAGCAACTTCACTTTCATTTTTCACTTTCATGCATTGGAGAAGGAAATGGCAATCCACTCCAGTATTCTTACCTGGAAAATCCCATGGACAGGGGAGCCTGGTAGGCTGCAGTCCATGGGGTCGCCAAGAATCGGACTCAACTGAGCGACTTCATTTTCACTTTTCACTTTCATGCATTGGAGAAGGAAATGGCAACCCACTCCAGTGTTCTTGCCTGGAGAATCCCAGGGACGGCAGAGCCTGGTGGGCAGCGGTCTATGGGGTTGCACAGAGTCGGACACGACTGAAGCGACTTAGCAGCAGCAGCAGCAGTCTCGTTGGACCACTTACAGATATTCTCATTCCCATCTAAAAATGTCTACTATCCGAAAAAAAGCTATCCTACTCCATATCCTCTTCTCACCTACACTCTTATTTTGCAACTCCCCATCCTCTTTTACCCACTCTGTTTTCTGACTAGTCAGACAAGTACAGAGCAGCTCTATCCAGAGCCCAGTTTCTGCCTGTTCAGCACAGTCCCAGTCAATGCCTAAACGTATTAGAAAAAGAACAGTCATCACAAACATATCCTGTGATTTGTTAACATAAATGGGGCTTTGTTTCAATCACAAAGAATCTCATCGCCATTTCATCTCAGTGGCAACTATCCTAATAGAATTTGGGGGCAACCATTGTCTTTAAAATCCAACTCTAACTACTGGGATAGACAAGGGGCCATGATGAAAATTTGAGAAATCCCACAACATTTCAGGTCCTGCAACAGAACATAAGCATTGAGAAAACATAGTTCTTACTGATACTTGAATTTTGCAGGATTTATGCCAGACTGTAAGTTGTGGAGCCAAGTATAATATATAAAGAATTGTAGAAATTAACTCAAGAAAACTAGTTAATTTTCTGAGTTATCATAGCTAATGCAATGGTGAACTGAAATCTGTTTGCCTCTTCTTAAGGTGGTTTCTAAATCAGTCCACAAATTCTTTGATACATTTCACTTCACAAAGAAGAGCCCAATTCCATTTCCTCTGAAGGAAGGTTAGATTTACCAGATTGTTTCTAATGAACAGAATGTGGTACAAGTGATGCTATGTGACTTGCAAGGCTAGGCCATGAAAACGGTAAACTCTGACTCTCCCTTCTCTCCTTGGATCACTCACACTAGGGAAAGCCAGAGAAGTCCGTAAGGAGAGAAATTAAAGCTTCCAGCCAACAATTTACCACGAAATTGGCAGCCGTTTCAGGGAGCCACTTGGGAGACAGAACCCCTAGCCTCAGCGAAGCATAAATGACTACAGCTTAAATCAACATCCTGAAAACAACTTCATGCCGGACTCTAAGGAAAAACTGCCCAGCTATGAATTTCTGACCCATAGAAATGGTAAGGAT